TGAAGAGTGCAATGCTGTCCTGTGAAGGAGGCCAGAGATAAGCCTTGTGCGGGACAGCAGCTGTATCGCATGTTTGCATAGCAGTATTTTCGCTCTTCCTTAATGAAGAGTGGTGAGCGCAGCCCACTGTGAGTGGACTGAAAAACAGCGATGCAAAGGTGAGTTATATGGAAACGTAGCAGTGTGGGTCTTGCTCAGCTGAGACATGGGGTTCCTCTGCAGAGGCTTGTACGTGCTGGCAGCCTTGAGGGCCCTGGGAGGGCGGGAGGGTGGTGAAAATCCTTCTGAGGAGGAAAGAGAGATTAAGAAAGGAAGAAAAAAACTTAGGGTGAAAGCTACCGAGGGCAACATAGAGGTAAGAGGAAAACGTAGATTTTCTTAGACTGTTCAGGGAACTTTTCACATATTTATCGGATGTTTGCCAAACAGCATTGAGCTAATGAGCTGCCTTACTACTAAAGAAAAAATTGTCTCTCAACAAATGTCATTGTAATATTTGTCTCAAGACCCAGTAAGATATTACCAGATATTTCTAAAATCACAAAGACTTTAAGATATTTAGCTTTTCCAGCTGGTCAAAAGTGACTCTGTTAACCTACTTCTAGATTGCTTATGTTCATGTCTCTTTTCAGCTAATTTTTAAGTTTCTTAGAGCTGACAAAATGATGAATTATCATCAGACATACTTTTTTTCCTCTCCAGGAGACATGTTATTTGAAAAGCTTTAGAGAATACATATTTCAGAATTCAGTTGATGGAAGAGATTACTTGAGAAAGTAGTAGTTTTGTGAAAAAGGGCTGTCAGTTCTTTGAACTGTGAAATTGAAACATCAGGTAGAAGCAAGAGCTGTGCTGAGGATGTTGGAAACAACTAATTTATATAGAACTTCTGATGGCAGTTTCTTTTATTGCAAAAATACTTACAGTTCTTGTATATACTACAGCCATTTCTGATATCTGTGACGTGTCATAACTACTCCATACATTTTTTCACTAGTTGATTGGTTCTCAAGAATATAGATGGTTTTGTGATTTGTCATCCTTCTCCAAATCATGTGGAGTCTGTGTTTCATTTCTTCCATCCTGTGGGTGTGGTTGTTTGATTTCTGGATACTTCTAATGCAGTGAAAGAGTAATTATACATTCTAGTTGATGTAAGATGTATCTGGAAAAATCTTCTTTGCTGAACTTGCCCTCATAAACAACACTGTACCCACTTTGTTGTTGAATTGTTCCCAGTAGTGGAGAGGGTAGTAATGGCAATTCTGGTGCTTATGCATAGTCTGGCTGCTTCATGTCCAGATATTTTCACTGTTGCTACTATTTGAAGCTGAAGTTGTAATGAATTTTCAGAAAATGCATGTGGTGTTTTGCTGGGCTTCTAGATATCACCTGTGTGTGTGCTACTGTCTTGTGAACTGCACTCCACTTTTCAGAGCTGGTGATAGCTAGATCCCTGGTGCCACGTGTTACTGTGTTCTTGTGGTGAACTATGTAGCTGCATCAGCTGTTTTGGTTGGTGCAGATGCCTTGCTGGTGGAGCAGTGGCAAGCTAAGCTTCAAGGAAGAGATGTGTTTTCTGTCAAGTGAGGTGCTGACTTTGGAGCAACTCAGTTTAAGTTGTGGGGATGGTTTTGCAGGTTGAAAGGACCTAATGGACCCTTAAAGCCCATGTGCTAATCTTTTTAAGCTTGTTGGCCAGGATTTTTCTTGTTTGCACAACAAAGGAATGTTATTACTGGAAGTTCTTGTCTGAGAATTAAACAAATTTGGTTTTATTTAATACTTACTCTGAAAGGTCAACAGCCCAAGCAAGTTTGCTATCTTCTTCACTCCTTTCTCCCCCTCTTCACTGTTTAATCTCTATGCCTCTACTCAGCATATCAATTTCTGCAATCAGATTTGCTTATAGAACTTAACTATTTCTTGCTTTCTTTGAACTGGACTCTCTTCTTAAAAGAATAGTTACATCTTTACTTTCTTTAGCATCACTGAATATCTCAGAATAAGCATTCCATCCATAATATGAAGCTACAGTTGAGTAAGAGAAAGTTACTGTTTACTAATAGCTGTTGATCACAATAAAAACCTTAAAACCCCTACTGGGCTGGGGGTAACATTTTGCACTACTTGCATTTCAATTCAGTGACTTTAAAGGGCCTCTTAACTGGGAAACTTTTTGGCGAGCTGACATGCTGAGATAGCTTTGCCTAGAATATCACTCGTGTAGGAGTGCAGTTCACCTTGCTGCAATACCAGCACACAAAAAACCCAAAACAGTGGGATCATTCTAGGTAACTAGGAAAAGTGTCAAGGCAGGTGTAGAACTTACTGTCTGCTTTGGCCTCCTGACCTAGCTCTCTGGATATACAGATGTGCACATGATCGGTGGTCTCAGTGCAGTTACACTTTGAAATAGTATGCTGGTTTTCCCTTTTATTGAATAAAACTTCAGAATAGTTTCAGTTTTTCGGAGCATGTAAACTATGCAGTATCCCATTTAAGGAAGTCTTTTCATGTTGGAAATTCTGAAAGGGAGAAGTTAAGAGTTTTTGATACTTGGAGTTTTCAAGGCTAAACTTCAATGGGACTTTTATGTAAAGAAATAGGAGATATGAGAGAAAAAGCAAGTTAGCACTAAGCAGTTTCTTACAGGCACTTTTCAAGTGCTCTGCCAGGTTTTACAGGAAGTCTCAGTTGTTTGTTCATTAGATGATGTTTGTAAGTCAAATAGAATCTGAAACTTTTGAGGTTCTTGCTTTAAGGGAGTGTGAGAGAAATGACTTATATTTATATAAGCTCCTGTCATGTCCTTCAGAGGACATCGTGATTTTTAAAATTAACTTTGATAGAAGTTAACTTTAATTCTTCTTTATCTCAGTGAGAACTTAATTGAAATTTTTTTTCTCTATTTTTCTAGTTGGGCTTTTGGTTGTTGAGGAAGGTTTGAAAGCAAGTAATTGCATTTCCTTCTAGGAGAAAAGCAAGTTTTCATCTCCTCTGTTTTGTTTTGATAACTAGAATCCTGTAATGATTCGAACTGTGTCTGCCTGTGTAAACCTAGGACTATTTCTTTCCTGTTCGTACCTAAAGCTTTTGGGGAGCCTCTACTTTGACAGTAGAGAAATTGCATCAAAGCACTCTTCTAGATTTAGCACTTCTTCATAGGGATCCAAACTGCAGGGCATAAACAGAATAGATGAGAAAAGGTGAGGCAGAGCCTCACACAAGAATCTGGGGGCTAGCTTGTTTGGTTTGGGCTCTGTTTCCCTTGCTATTGGGTAGAGTTTTGTCTGCTTTAATAAATGTATTTTCTAGAGTGTTTGCCCAAAGACGTTATGTTTTGTATTTGGATTGATATTGTTGTAGCCAGGGAAGAACCATCAGCCTCTCTCAGCTGGTTTCAGTCACGTTAGGGTATTCTAAGACTATAATGTGGCGTGATAGGATTTTATTAAAAAAATTGTATTGTTTGTAATGATTAACTGACATTTGTGAAGTGGTATTGTGTGACGTAAACAGCTGCTACACTTAGCTTGTTTTTGAGGACACTGGGACATTAATAGTTTTTTTTTTAAATAGAGTTCTGAAAGAAAACCAGACTTTTATTATGAGTAATTTCACATTCTGTAGCTTATGCTTTCATGCATTAGATAAGCAGTAAACTAGCATGTATCTTGGAGCCCTGTGGCTTTTTGCACTGTGAAATATGTTGGAAGTGCTTTTTCAGTGTGTTTGTAGCAGAGCTAGGGCAGGAGTTGCAGGTGCTGTGAGAGTGGTGCTGAGTGAACTTAATAAAAGTTGGGAGTTAGCTTCTTCCTCTAGTTGTAAAGGTATTGAGGTTATGAATGCATTTGTGACCAGAGTTTAAAAGAATATGCAGATCAGAAAACTACTTATAATTGCTGACTTAGGAGGTTGTATGTGGATAACATTTGGAACAGAGGTGGAGCAGCAGCAGCAGCGTTAAGCAGAAAAACCTTTACACAAGATGGTGCCTTTATTATAATTAACAGCTGATTGCCTGATTCTCATGGCTTGGTTGTCCTTGGGGCTTTTAGCTCTGAAAGCCAGAGGCTTGTCAGCTTTCTCTCATTTAAAGCTGTAGAACTTTTTTGTTGTTCATGTGAACATGGGTCTAAACTTGCATAGAAATTAAATTTACCTCTGTTGATCCAGAATAGATCATTTTAGGGGAAATACAGGAAAATGAAACCTGATACTCAGTTGTTTATCGGATTTTTTTTTAACAGACAACCTGTCATTCTACAGCTGTCAGTTCAAGGTTGCTCAGGAAAGTTAAATGAGGGGAAAAAAAGCAGCAAAACACCGGAATAACTTGTGCTGTTTGCAAATACAATGCAGTTTACATTGAAGCACTGTGCTATACTGGGACTAAGTGAAGGTTAAGCCGGGCTGCACTGAAGTCATTCTGGGTCACATCTCTAAAAAGCCTACTGCTGGGTACTGACCTTTTGCTTACTTTTAATAGAGTCAGAATTGCATGCATTACTGTTTTCTCACCGTTTGCATCTGTGGTGGCTTCGGATACTGTTTATCCTGATTTAAGCTGTTATTTTAGTCTCTCTGTAAGATTATTACCCAGGTGTGCTCAGTCTTCTCATGAGGATTCAAACTCGATATACAGCCTGTTGCCTTATTAAGCAAAAGTCCCAGGTTTGGTGCAGAAGGGAGATGAAAGTAGCAATCTTTTTCCAGTATTCTTTTAAGTAATAGTGGTTTCAGTGAAAAACTTGAAAAATGTGAATGGCAAGTATTTTGTTGTCATGTGGCCAAACGTTGTCTCGTGGTATGTGCAGATATGGCAGGGTAGGGAAGTACTACGTCTGTAGAAAGAGGCTAAACATTTTAGGTTTGCAAACACTGGTTTAATTTGTCATTTTTTTTCTGTCACGCAAAAAAAAATAGCCATAGTTTAGTGGCTTTTAGCTTCTTAGATTACAAAGTTCAGCTCCTGTAAATTCCACAGCTTGCAGGTGCTCTTTCCTCTGGTGATTTATTAGCATCAGCTTCTTAACTTTAGGCTAAAGGGAAGCAAAGGCAAAACATGCTTTTGTTATGTCATTTTACACTGTTTGAGCCGATGGAGTGCTGTCTCTAACAAAGGATTTCAACTCTCTGTAAACATTGGGAAAACCTGATGTTTGAGCTTTGGGTAAGGAGGTGTTGATGCCCAGTTTCAGTTCAGGACCAGGTATTGGAAGGTGGAAGTTTTGTCTTATCTGTGTTAAGTCAAATCTTCATTATATAAGTCATTACTATTGAGAATTTAATCTTTCTAAAACAATTTCTAATAGAAAACATTATGAAAAATTAAGGGTATTTCCCTGTGAC